AGCTAAAATGAACCAAGTTCATCCAAGGAGCAGGATTTCATCACAGGTGTTGGCTCAGTAGCAGGACAGCTGTTTCCCTTGGCTGACAGGTTTTATGCAGTTTCTCAGCTGCAAAGTGCAATCAAGTTCCCCTCCCTGCAAGGATTTCAACAGAGCCCAGATGAGGTGTCTCCACTCCACCCTCTGCTTCATCCTCCTTAGCAGGTGCTGTGGTTGCTGACTGTGGGTGTGGGGAATCCTCGTGGAATAGGTTTTGAGCACACCAATCACCCTTCATACAGGGAGCTGTAACTGTGATTTACTCTATAGTTTCTGTACTGTTATAACCTCTATTAGGCTGTGAATATAACCTCTCTATTTCCTCTGATATTACTCCCAGCCATCTTTGCACAGCTTGGTGAAATGCAGTGAAAGTGGATGGATGCTACTGCTGGTCTTAAGCTGGCTATAAGACAGAGCCTGGTTCCACTGCAGAGAAACAGCCATCTCCATTCCAAAACACTGCAAAGGAGGGCCAAAGGAGGGCCAAAGGAGGGCCAAATATCCAGAAAATTGAACCCACAAGGGTGGGATGGGAACAGATATGACAGTTTCTAAGTAAGTGCTGTTTTGTACAGAAGTCTTGGGGACAGGGAACATAAGTAAAAGCAGATAAAGCATAGGAGGCTCCAAACAAAGCCAGGACAATCTTGGTAGTCAGCCTTGAGTACAGCCTAGAGAAAATCAGCTCTTTGGAATGGTCTGAAGGAAGGTCTGGTGGTGCATACTCCCTTCTTCCCTGCCTCTGGATGCACTTCAGCGCAAGAAATGCTTGTCAGGCCTCAGCCTTGGTGAACAGCACCTGGGCTCAGCTCCTCTTGAGCTTATCAGAAACTCTGTATGCTCCTAGGAACTATCTAATCAGCTCCTGCTTTTCAACAAACAGCTTTGGAAACTTACTTTTCTTGTCTGAATAACAACCCAGGTGAATTTTTTCTTTGAAAGCTTGACAGCAGAAGCAACTGGAATTGCAGCCAGGATGGAAAATTACAATGGCTAAAGCCAACTCTCCTCTGACCCTACAAAGTGCAGTCCTAAATGAGACCCTTGGAGCTCTCCAGGGCTGCAGTGGGCTGTGAGCAGCAATCTTGCTTTGAGTAGGGTCTCTCTCAGAGCTCACAAACGTTCAAGTCTGCTGCCCAATTGCTCCTTCCGGAACATGCCCTTCTGCTGTCTCCAAGGTTCAGAACTCACCGCTCTGATCCAATGCCTGGTGTTCAGGGCTTCCTGGTGCATTCATTCCTAATGCCTCCATGCCAAACTCAAACATGAACATGCCAGGAATTTGACCTCAAATAACGATGAGACTTCTATGAGCCAAGTGATGACTCATTTGTCCCCCACCTCTACAGCAAAGAACAGCCCCATGGTTGCAAACTATGATCAGGATCTCTGCCTTTTTTGACACTCACATTGGGTGATATTGATGTTGTTCAGTTGGCAGAGTAAGGCAGTTTGCTCTGCCAGCTCACTGGAATAGTATCCTTGAGACTTAAAATGTAATTTAGAACTGGAATTTGCTCTTCAGATTTCTTTTGGTTTCCCTATTTTGCAACTTCCTAGTCCAGAGGCACAAGCTGCAGCCACCTGTGTACACAGGTGTCTTGTGCAGTGCACAGAGCCATATCAGAGTTGCCTGCAGGTGTGATTCCAGGAGCTCTGTGGGATTTGTTTGGTCCTGCCTGTGGCAGTAGCTGTGCCCTGGGATGGCAGCCCTGTGCTGTGACTTGTCTCCATGGATATCCTGGATTCTTCTGTCACTGCAGCCCCAGTGTGAGCATGTCCCCTGCACTGTGCTGGAAGGGACCAGATGCCCCTAAAACACCAGGCTGTGCTGGCCCCATGCTCAGGGCAGGGTGAGGTCCCTCTGTGCAGGGGAGCACTGCAGCTGCTGTGTAGGACTGTACCATCCTGCATGAACTGACCAGTAGGTCCTTTAATGCTATTTACATTTCCAAACCAAAACAGAAACCATCACATCCTAAGGGTTCATGTTAGTTGGGTTCAAGGACAGATGAAGCAACCAGTCTGTAGGTACCTACATGTGAGAAGGGTTTGTGCTTTAACAGATCACACAGCAGTGAGATTCTGTGCCTGGCAGGTGAATAAGTTTATCCTCTCTAGAAGTAAGGCATTAGCAGGTGAAACTCATCCCTGTGCAGGTGGGCAGGCAGGGAGTGGGGGTGCTGCCCTACACATGCCCTGTGAGTGCAGACTGATGGACCACCTGCACCCCATGGCAAAACTGGTCAGTACAATTCAATCTGTTCTGCTCAAAGGAAGAGGAGGCAGGAGGAGAATGCTTATAGCCAACTATGGCAACAGGGGAAAAATACTGCAGGAAGTCTACAGTATGGGGTCCCCTAATACACTTCTCTTTCTTACTTATTTTTAAGTTGTATTTGTTAGTTTCCTCATAGATTACTTCAACTCTGCAAAAGCCCTCCCCTGCTCATCCAGAAATAAATCACCTGTGCCTCTTCCCCACCAGTGCCCTCACTGCACCTACACCAAAGCCAGTCCACTTGCACAAGTAACCAGTGCTAAGCAGGGGTGTTTGCTGCTTTCATTCCAAGGTCCATCCTAGTAACACCAGTCTCCCCATGGTCCCAGCCTGCAAGACAAGAGATGGAACACAGGCCAGCCCATCTGAGCTGGTGGCTCTCTCCAACTACATGTCAAAACCAGGTGAAGAAAGCTTACTGCTGAGGCAAGGGCATACCTGCTTCAGGGGTAGTCCTGTTGTTATCATGTTTCTAGAGTCCCATACCTTCAGGGTGGTTTTCTTGCAAGCAGCTCTTCACAGCAGTGTTGCTCCTGCTTCTTCATCAGGACTCCTCCAAGGCTCTCCCTGACAGGCCAACCCACCCCCTTTTATCCCAGTTATCTTCACTAGCCACACCTGCCACCCAATTAAGGACATCACAGCTGCAGCCCATTTAGAACAACTAGGATTGGGGCAAGGCCACTTATACAATACATATATTTTACCAAGACTCATAGGCCACTTACACAATACATATATTTTAATATGGCTCAAAGGCCACCTATACAATATAAACTAAGATTCAATGGCCACCTATATAGTCCAGATATGGGAGTGGCCAGAGACAGAAGAAAAGGAACAAGGTCAAACTCCCACCCTGCACTCGTTACCGCTGAGGCTGTGTTTGCACCCTCATTATAAAAAGCCCTCTTGTCCAAAGGGGACATGGCGACTTGAAGCAGACTGGACAGGCACTGCTGCCTACAAATAGGCTGAAACCAGGCTGTGAAGCTTTCCTGTCTTCCTGAGGGAAGAAAAATTACTGTCTTTCACAGAAGCTAATTCACTTGTTAGGCACTGCATGTTCACACCAAATTTGCAATAAGATCCATGACAAAGTTTCCAAGATGTGACTATAATACATAAAAATAACTATCAATAGTACCAAATCAGAGAGAAATGATGAGACTATTCTCTCCAATTCATATGCTAGAACCTGATAACTCTTCATTTTGTTTCTCCCCTGCTGCTAAGTGAATAGAAAAACCACAGCCCTTCCCTCTAAATTACACTGGAGAAATCAAAGGTCACACTCTTCCATTTTTTCAGTGTGATTCAACATGTCAGGCTGTTTACTTTCTGCCAATTAACACTCCTGCAGCTCGGGAACCGCCCCCTACTCCCTCACCAGGATGCACGCAGGTATTTGTTTAATAGTGCACAAACGCAGACACTCTGTGGTTTCCTTCTGGCCTCCTCTGCCTGATGCTTGGTCACTCAAACCGCAGTGGAGTTGGTAACACGCACTCCCTAACTAAGTATATTTATTTAGTTTAGCATTTCGTTTACCTGGTCTTTGAACGGAGTACCCCTTTTCAAACCCTGTCAGAAAACACGTTTGTATATAAACCCAGTACGGTCTATAAACCGAGCTGTGGGCAGAGCGAACAGCTCCAGCTGCCGGGGGCGACACAGCTCGGCAGGGCGGGCAGGCTCTCGCCATTGTTCAGCCCAGGTGTAAATCCTGCCGGAACGAAGCTCTGCCCGCGGCTGCTCCGCAGGGTGCCCCGCAAGGGCCCTCGGTGTCCAGCCAAGGCACATCTCCCGAGCCGCGGCAAAGGCGTTACAGTAACTACGTCTGATCCCCAAACGCTCTCTGGAGCTCTCACCCGGGGCCCTCCGTCGGGTGGTTCCATGAGGACACAGCCCAAGGCATCCTGGGAAGCCCTGCAGGTGTCGGAGGAACCGTTTCGTTCATCAGCTCCCTCAGCACGAGCTAGCGAGGGGCTGCCCGCGGCCTCACCCACCGCGGCCTCTCCCCGCTCCAGCCACCAGCGTGCCCGAGTCAGGGCTGCCGCTTTCCCGACGGGGATGGTGACGGTGACGGTGACGGCACAACCAACCCGCGCCACGCCGGCTCCGGCTCCGGCCCACGGCGTGCGGGACCGCGCTCATGGGCGCTCTGGAGCGGAACGAGGCAGGCAGCTCCCAGCGGCCCCACCAGCGCCATGTGCCCCTCGGCCCTTCCCTGTCCGCACCCGCGCGCGTCCATTGGCTGCCGCCTCAGCTCCGCCCCACTTCTCCCTCCGCCATTGGACGGACCCTGCTTCTCTCTCGCGTCCCTCCCTCGGGCTCGCGCAGTGATTGGCTAGCTGTTCCCCTCCCCTTTGCGCCCCGTCCTATCCCTGCCAAGTGATTGGGCAATGCTCACCCTCTGTCTCCGCCTCCCCACTGGCGTTCCTCTTCGCCATTGGAGGAGCCCCTCCCTTCTCCGTGCTCCCCTCCCACCCGGGTGCCGCGCAGGCTCCCATTGGGCCCCGGCCGCCCGCCTCGCACGCGCGTCGGCGCGGCCAGGCGGGGCCCGTCCCCTCGCGTGACGCCCGCGCCGCCGATTGGGGCAGCGCGGGCCGCGCTTCCGGTGCGGCGCGGCCCGGCCGGGCGGGGGCGGCGGAGCGGGCGCGGCGGGGCCGGCGCGATGGAGCGGCCCGAGCGGCCCCGCGCCAACGGCTGCGGCGCCCACGGCGCGCTCCGCAACGGCTTCGTCCGCGGCCCGCCCGGCACCCAGGTGAGCGCGGGGCGCGGGCGGCGCTGGGGCGGGCGGGGGGCGCGGCGGCGGGGCCCCGGGAGGCACCGCGGTGTGGCTGTGAGGGGTGTCGGCAGAGCCCAGCGGTTTGTGTCGTCAGCCCTCGCCTGGGGAGGGAGGGCAGCGCCCGGGGGATGCTCGCTCACCGCACTGGTGGCGGCGTGGGAAATGACTGTCCCTCGGGTCACGGCTGTAACTTCACTTTTACCGGTGCCAGAGCTTTGAAGTTAAACCTCGCTGCAGCACAGTAGGCGTGTGGTTTAGAAGAGAAGGTTTCGGCAGTCCTTCGCCGTGTTTCGCTGTTCCAGGTGCGACGCGGGGGCTGTGGGCACAGGTAGTCTTGAGCAGGCACTTCCCCTAGAGCCGGGCTGGGGGCTGGTGCAGCGCTTCCCATCCGGCTGTACCACAGCCTGCCATGCAAGTGTGTGTTTGTGCTTGCAGACTTGAATTGTTTCTGTGCAAAACACTCAAGTTTTGCGTTACAGTGTGAAGAGCTTTAAAGGTTGTCATGAATTCAGCCCCAGCAGAAGGTTGTGTTTCCTTGAACACCTCAAGCTGCTGGAGAAAAGCCTTCCTCTGTCATCATCTCTCCTGCTGCTTCTGTTTTTCAGTCCTCTGGTGTCCCTTCTGTTTTCTCAGTGTAGGCTTGTGCACTCACTGTGTGAGCTGGATTGAGAACTGATGCAGGCTAAAACGAGACTTTTTTCCCCTGAGCTATCTTTAACTGAGGATACATACTGTGTTTCTTTGGGTGGATGGGTGCTCACAGTTATGCCCTGGCCCTTGAGAGATACAGCCCAATACTGGAAGTGAACAGATGGAGGGAGGTGCAGGACCTTCAACTGGCAGCAGTGTCGGCTTGTGCTGGTTTGGGGAGCTGTGGCTTTGCTAGTCTTGCCTTACAAACACCCAGCCCTGCTGGCTATAAAATCTTACACGTAAATCTTTGTAATAAGACGAAGTTTGGTGCTGGAAAGTGTTGTCCTGTGACAGTTTTTCCCCACCCTGTGTTTTCTAAAGAAGAACGTCTGAATACAGTTATATTCTTCTACTTCAGAGGAACAGAAAGTGAGGTAGGGAAGCATTTTCCTCAAGGGCTTTGTTTACCTGTGTATCTGGAAAACATGGGTGATGCAGCATGTGAATGGGAAAAAAACTTAGACTTCAAACTGAGGAAACTTTAAAAGAATTGCTGGTTTATGAGATGTTCTATTCACTTAGTAGCTTGCACATGATACTATGCTCAGATATGTTTTGGAGACCTGAGGCATTTGAGGTAACTAATCCTAAAGTGGGTCAGGGTTCACTGGAGAAGTGGTCATGAGAAATCTTACCAAAAATCCAGAGTGTAGCAGCAGTGTGAGTTTTAAGAGTGTTGGTCAAACAGATTTATAATTAGGAGTATTACATTTTTTCTCCATATTTTTATGTGGGCTAGCTTTATGCTAACTTTCAAAGTGAGGGTCTGCATGTTAGGACTGGACTGGAAGAAGCAATTGCTTAGGGGAGCTAATTATGTGCGTCTTTCTTAGATAGCATCCGTGGTGGTAAGCTGCCAAAAGATGTGTTTGCTGATATATCAGAGATTCTGATATCACTGGCTACTTGGGTGGTCTTTTGCCTTTTCGGTTTTGTTTTTTGGGCATTTCTACAGAAGAAGGGAAACATGTGAATGCTCACTTTGTATTGGATATATTTGCTGTGTATGTATATACTGCATACTTACCACACAGCGTACTTGAAAATCTGCAACTGTAAGCAAGTACCAAAAACAAGGCAGCTTACACAAAAGAATGTGATTGTTACTTAGTAGGAAAAAAAACCAAACAGAAAAGTAAGGATGAAGAAAATAACTTTTCAAGAAGGCCTTTCAAGGGTTTTGTGCAAAAAGTAACAGGTAAAATGAGATCTAGCTAAAATGATGGGAAGAGGCGGGGAAAGGAAAACCATCAGTTTAAAGAAATGTTGCAGTCATTGACAATTTATCTGGAAAACCATGGAGCTTCTGAGGGGAGAGTTTAGAGACAGGGTAGTGCATTACCGTGTCCCCCAGCAGGGCTTGATAGTGCAGGAAAGCTTTACCCACTTTGAACTGTGTGAAAAAAAGGAGTCCTCTTCTACCTAGGATGTTTCTGCTCAGGTTATCTATGTAAGTTGGAGGGTTTTTTAATTATTGATTTGTTTGTTTATGTTGTTTTGGGGGTTTTTTTCCTAAAAAAATTAAAGCTTAAATTCTGATGTTTCCCTATGATACTTACTTCTCTAAGGGTGGTATTTGACACAGAGTAGGTTCTTTACTCCAGCATGCACAGAAGAGGGTGAAATTGTTTACTTAATTTTCAAAGAGGTTGTATTTGTCTCCTTCTGAACTGCTAAACCTCTTTGGTAAGAGGAGAGGAGAAACTTGCTGCCTACTAAAACTATGCAGTAACAGACTCTGACTACCTTGGAGATTAATGAAATATCATCAGTGACTGGGAAAGTGACCATTTGAAGTTAGGGCTCGAGCACAGTAAAAATATTCTGCTGAAGTACAAAGATAAATAACAGCTCTTGGCTTTCCTGAGATATCTTGTGTTCAAATTACTCGGCTCCTGCTTGAAGGTGATCTGTTTAGAGATTGTTGCATTCACTGAATTTCAATCTCATTATGAACACCTTAATTACTTAAAGAACATCTTAATGGTTGAAGAACCATATAGAAATTTAAAATTGTGTAATGTTGGAGAAAAGTGACTTTTTTTCTGACTGTATACAGTTAAGGGAGTTAATGGTTAGAAAGTGTAGTAATTTATGGATGGACTTAAAATTGATTGAGAACTCTGGTGTAATACTGCAGTATGTAAGATAAAAGCCTGACATCTCAAAGAGTATTGTCATGATGTGAGGAGTTGAACACAGATAGGAAAAAGAGAAGAAATCTTACTAAGAGAGATGTGAAGTTACCTCTTCAAGTTGTGCATGATGCTGCTTTCTATGCCCTTCTGCTGTTTTGGGGAGAGTGTTGAGCTCAATATAAAAATGGTGTTTAGGAGCTATCAAGACACTTGTGGGAATAATAAATGGGGGGAAATTGCTTTTTCTTTCTGCAGTGCAATTTTAAACTGGAACGTATTTCTCCAGTGGAATGTTTTGGAAATGACTAATGGTTTTCCAATGCTGCATCTGAAAAGATTTTTCTTGCTTAGAGTAGGGAGATTGGGACATCTTTAATGGGAGAAAATGCCCTTATTTTCCAAGATAATTTATTTGAATCCACCTATTATTGTTACCAAATTCTTAGTAATGTGATTTTTTTTTTACTCCTTGATTGAGCTTCTCACATTAGAATGGTTCTGTTATGCTTCTAGAAGTTAAAGAAGAAGTAGTCTCAGCCTAAAAAAAAGAAATTGGAATATAGGTTTTAGATATCAAGTTCTTAATTTCTGTTGTCTGCAGTATCTCTGAGTGTGTTAGATAGAAGCTGGATTTATATAAACAAATTTTAATTTCCCTGGTGTTTCTAGAAGGTTTTCAAACACCATTCTATAGCAACCTCCAGATAACATACATGCCTTTGTAAACAATGTCTTGTACTGCTTCCTCAGGAAGACAAGGAATAGTTTGGTTGATAAAAGTGGGAGGACTGTGGGATTTGCATTCCTTTAAGACAAGTCCTGAATTCTAGCAGCTATTAAAATGGCCAGCATAGATATTTCTTTCCTGGAAGTTTTGGTGTGGATATACAGGAAACAGTTTGTGTAGTCTTGTGATTTGTGCTTGCTCTTCTTAAATAGCACAAACTGCTTAAAGGTTCATCTTGTGGGACTGCTGCAGGATGCAGGGGAACAATGGTTTCATCCTGATTTCTAAGATGCTTTTGCTGGAATTCAGGTTAGTGTAGTTTCTTTTGGAGAGCACACTTAAGATGACTGCAGCAGATACTGCAAGTTCTTCTTGCTACAAGTGGTTTAGTGACGTGAATCATGTTTCAGATGAAAGTTAGGATAAGATAAACAACTACCCTATCCACTGGTGTAAAAAGGAATTAGAGTCCAGAATTGTGAGGTTTTTTCACATCTGTGTACAAATTTAAAATTTAGGTATTTCTGACAGAAAAAAAAAATCCTGAGAATCTAAATCTCATTAACAACTTCTTGAAGAAGTGATTGTTGCCCCTTACTCAGCATTTGGGAGATGGCATCTTGCAAACGGTATCCAGTTTTGAGCTTCTCAGAAAGATCCTGACATAACCACATCAATCTCTGAATCCAGTGGAGGGTCCCCAAGAAATGGAGAGGCTGTGAGAGCTGGGTTTGCTCAACCTTAGGAAGAGAGAAGGCTTAACTAGCTGGCTGCAGGATATAGAAGAAATGGGGCCAGACTCTTGGAAGCATGTGGCAATAGTAGGAGAAGCAACACATGTCATTTGGAGGAATAGGAAATTTTGATTGCACGTAAGGAAAATAATTTTTCACACAAGGGTGGTAAAGTACTGAAAGAAGTTGCCCAAAGAGGCTGTGGAATCTCCATCCATGAAGGAGTTCAAGAAGTTCAGGATGGTTGGACGTGGTCCTTGGCAGCCTGCTGTAAATTAGCCCTGCTTTGAGCTGGGGCTTGGACACAATGGAGGTCCCTTCCAGCCTTACAGAGGTGAGCTCATGGACTGCAGGGGAGTTTGTGCAGGTTTGGACGTCAGCATTAATCCCCAAACCCCTGTGAAGATGTGTGCCTTAGGGCTTATAGCAGGTACTCTGAGGCCTACATCAGACCTGAGGAAAGGAATTACTGCTTTCCAACTCTTGCTTGGTTTGATCATTGACTGTATTTATTGTGTCAGTAACGTAAAAGTGAAGTGAGAAGAAAGTTGTGTGATCTAGAAAAGACTGCAACCTTGTTCACATATTTTCATTGACAAAACTCTATTTTTGAAAAAGTGTACCTCTGCACAATGATCTTTTTCTACTACCAAATTCAGTTATAAAAGACTGTAAGCCTTTGTG